CAGAGTGTTAGGATTATAGGCGTGAGCCACCGCGCCCGGCCTAAAATGTGTTACTTTTAAATATGATAGTTATGGAGTACCACATATCTACCAAGAAATGTCCACGATAGAGATTGAGAAATAAACAGTCACAGAGCTTACCTCACTTACCTCATAGAGTTTAACATGGAAATATACATGCACAGATACTACCATAGCTCAAAACATTGTAAACACCAAAGTGAGGAATGAAGAAGGTGAAAAGTGAATGTGACAGGAATACGATCACCTGTCTTGTGCCAGGCACTGTGCTGCATTCTAGGATTCAGAATAAAACAATTGTGACAATTTCTGTCCACGAGAAACTCAGAGCCCAAAGAAAAAGATTTTAGAAAGATATGATAGTTGAATTAGATCTTTAAGAGTATTTGGATAAAAATAAATAAAAACAGAAAGATGCTTATTCCAGGAACAGGGGCAAGGCAAGCAAACACAAGGAAATGGGGAACTATAGGGCATCCTATAGGAGAACTGTAGAGAATGGAAATAATCCAATATGACTGAAACTTTGTTGTTGTTGTTGTTGCTTTTCCCCTGGGGCAGCAAAAGTAAAGGTAATGAATTTGACTTTTGATGTTGATGTTGTGCATTTGATACACTATACATACTCACACATAGAGATGTTGTGTAAGAAGCCAAAATTTTTCTGTCTATATATCAGATAAGAAGTTAAGGCCAAATATATGGGTCTGCATGAAGTTGTGGGCAAGAATTAGGTCACACATAAATGAGCATCAATGGGGAATAAGAGTGGAGTGAAGATGACTGAGACATAATTTTATCATTAGGGGAGTAAAAGGAATGTAGAAAGGATTCATTAAAGGATTAATTGTGGAAGGTAATGGGGGAAATTGGAGGAATAACAATGTCATAGGAGGCAAAGCAGATAAATTAAATACCAAAGCAGGGATCAGCAACAATATAAAACCCATAAAAGGGCTGATTAATAAGAGAATAGGGTAGTGCTGATGGACTTTATTATGATTATTAGATCATGAATGAATTTTAAAAAAAGAGATTTAGTGGATTGGCAGAGACAGGGACATTGACTGAGGAGTAAATGAGAAATCTGTGGACTATATTTAAGTTTTAAGACGTTTACCAGAGAAAGATGAGAGATAATATTTTATAGCTTGATTTTAGTTAGGATCAGAGAAACCTAAGCCTCTTTGTAGAGTAAGGATATGAAGTCAATAGAGAGAAATTGAGGAAAGAAGAAATAAAAAAATAAATCAGGGTCCTAGAAGAGAAAGGAGAAGGAGGGCTCAAGAATGGTTCTTTGAGGCTGGGCGCGGTGGCTCACGCCTGTAATCCTAGCTCTCTGGGAGGCCAAGGCGGGCGGATTGTTTGAGCTCAGGAGTTCAAAACCAGCCTGAGC